CCCTTTCAGCACATTCACCCCGCCTCCCCGTCTCATGGCATCAAGACTAAGCCAGAACAGCCATGGCCAAACGTGGGTCTTCAAGCCAGGAACAAACACGGCGGCCGTGTTAGACCACTACCTAAACACCACAGATAGGACTGCCACATTTGACCCTCTGACCCCTGGCACCATGACCCCCGGCCTGATTGGCAATACGGCATGCCCCATGGGTCGTGTCCGGGCTACAATGGTCACGACGTGTTGTTCCCGGTTGTTCCATGTTGGACTCGCAAAAGGGTAGACTTCGGCGACTTCGGTAGAAATCGTTTTTTCAGAGTAGAGGGCCAAAGAAAAGGCATAAATTTGTGGATTCGTACTTGGAAATGGTTCACAGGGAGTTGTGCCATCTACTACTCACTCTAAAGTCAGGGAAAATCATCTTACCCAAAGGCAATGAATTCCATACTTTCATATACTTTCCACAGTTTCCTGCTGGGACTCCTACTGGTTGGGGCTCCTCTCTCTGCCTTTCACACAATCTAGGACCCCCACCACTCGCTGAAGCTGCATTTTCGTACATCGTTGGCCAACCAAATGACCCAAATCACGTCAGGGTCCACCAAGACTCTATGGAAGCAATCATCCACCTCGGTTAAAGGAAGCATCTACAGGAATCCATGGCTTTCACCCCGTAGACTCCTAGAAGATCCCTCAAACCAATTCTGGGACTCCCTACCTACCTGACATTACCTGCTAAGTCCCGCAGCCCAAGCCCAGCCTCCCCTTCAGTCTTGCCGGTCGGCACGGTCGGCACGGTCTAGATGGTTACTCCAGGTCCGTGCGCCTGCGAATCATCTGTGGCCATCGATACCTGGGCGCCCGCACGGTTTGATGATCAAAGGTTGGTGGCAGTGGCGGTCGCTGGATGTCGCCGGTTTCTCAAAGAGATGCTCGACGTTCTCCTTCCACGCCCACCGAACAGGAACAAATCCACGGCGATTCTGCGTTGGTGGTTGGTGGGGCTTTAGCGAGGAAGGCTGCAGCTGGGAATTCGGAGTTTTGAAGAAGGCACCATCCTCACCGTTCCTGCACCGCCTGCACTAAACTGACACGTGCCAATTGCCAATGTGGAAATCACTCAGGCGTCGTTCACGCGTTCTGTTCCAGAAAGTCGGACCGTCACCGAGTTTTGTTGAGATCGGCGCGACGTTTTCCGTGGTCTTCTGACCTTGGCTATCCAACAATTTTGACCTTTAGCGGTTTAGTTAAGAAATCCACTGTAAACTTAAAGGACTAAGGATCTAAGAGTGCGCCTGAGGGGCTTCAGTGTTTGGATTTCATTCTCGTTTCCTCAGACTGGGGGTATCAAACCTGCGTCTGCTCGAAGTGCAACCTGGATACCGGGCGATGTCGGCCCACTCTTCAAGGCTTCCACATGGAAGATGGAGGGCGTGAAGGATGTCCAAGTAGGAAGCAACCAGACTCGGCAGAGTATACAGCTCACACACTTGGTACATGCACCATGTGTCATGTGCTTGACATAATTCGGAATCAAAGCCACCACTAATGTTTTGAAGGCCAGCGCATTGCGCACTTTTGGCAAGGAGGCTCTCTTCCAGTTGGATGCCAAACTTTTCTCGTAGTGGATCACTGTCCTGTTTTTGGCATTTGCGAAGCGAAGAAATCGACAAGCGGATGACTCAGGGTTACTGGAACATGATCCAAACAAATGGTTACGCGCGCTCCCAGTGCTTTCATGGGACTGATTTTCAGCTTATGTGGCTTCTTTTCTGATAAGGGCAGCGCATCAGTGGGAGCATTTACTAAGCAGCAAAGGACAGCACTTCCTGCCATCTGTTTGGGCCACTGACCATCGCTGCATGATTGGAGCATCTTAAAGCAAACATCCAGATCCAGGAGTTTGAAGTTTACACAGCACCCTTCTCCACCAGCTGTGGTCTTTACTGTTTACTATGCTTTCGGCTCTTCGGCTCCATTCCGGCAGTTTGCTGCGGGCTTGAATTAATCAGCTTCCAACGACGTGACACATGTCAGGAAGTAATCTTGAGTTGTCCTAGCTACTCTTAAACAACAGCTGTACTTTGACAGCTTCACACCACTGGTGTCAGTTTCACGGTCTTCTGGCTACCACCATGGGCTTTCAAAGCCTCTGAGGAGTGAATCCGTTCATAGACCACTTGACAATGGCTCTAATTACAACAAAGAGAATTACCACAAGCTGCTGCCCCCCTGCGCCTCCACTTTCAAGTAGCTCAAGAAGTTGGGAACGGCATCCTGGAAAAATGGGACGTAAAGCTTGTGGGCATGTGGATCTGACAAAGAGCCACGGCTGAAGGCTGAAGGTTGATTCTCCTGGCCCTGGCTGCTGAAGAAATTCAAAGCTTTGGAATAGCCTTCAGCTAGGACCTGCATCTTGCACAATAAGATGCAAGAAGGACGTGTTGTTTTCGCAAATTAAAAAGGCACTCTTGGCAAGATGCGCCTGCTGCCGGTATTTGAATTGCGCAACGTCTGCCTGCATAGCTCAGCTGAACTGGTCTAAGTCTAATTAACTGCCATGACCCAAGGCCCAACTCGCTTGGGGAACCAGTATGAAGTCCAAACCAATCAATTGGACTCACCAGCACCCAAAACCTCTTGAGTATCTTGAGTCCCCCAAAACTCCAACTACTACCTCCTGAGAAGGTGGTTAGGGTGGGTGCCGGGGAGGTCTAACCACCTTCTCAGCAGGAAGTTGGAGCCCTAGGGAGTTGCCACGTGCACAAAGAGTCCTTGAATGAAAGCGGGTCCCATCCCACCTGGTTCTGGACCAAAGTCTGCTGCGCTTCACCCTCGGCTTTGATGATAATTTGGTGCGCCAGCTGCCTGGCAAAGACTTGACGTCCAAACTTCTTGTGATAAATGGATACATATGGATACTGTTTACAACTTTGCGTGTCGATGAGGACCGCTCTTTCACCTGCTTTCACTTCTCGTCAACCCGCACCTGGCACTATAGAGCTGTGTCTGCTTTTGAATCACCTGTGCGCGAAAGAAATGGCAAGTCAAGTGCTGCACAAATAGACTGTAGATCCTCTACAGAATTCACAGCCTCTCAACTACAAAAGCACGCAGCAAGTCTGAAGTGAGAGTTATATGAGATCTGTATATATATATATACTGAGGACTAGAATCATCTGACAACTGTCAATATGCTTAATTATATAATTAAAACAACTTTAATTGTGCACATCGCTTCCGTTCAGTTGTCTGCCACAAGATGTCCTTCAGCCTTGGTCTTGTTCTCCTGCTCGGCCACTTGGATGTCCTGCTTCATCTCCTGCGTCTCCACAATGGCGGCCGCGTAGAGCTTCGGGAAGTGCGCGGGCTGCAGCTGGAAGCTCACCACCTTCTTGCCGTCGGGTGCTCCGGTCCAAAGAACTATCCCAAAGGCTATAGCGAAACGCTATAGTAGCGACATGTGCTGAAGCATACCTAAGACATCCTAAGGATCTACGCAACAGCACCAACACTGTCAAGACTATACCACCAATGTATGGAGGCGGCCAGGGAGTTGGGTGGTCTACAGCGATGTGAAGGTGGGGGGGAGGGGTTCGTTGGCCCGGGCCCTCAGTCAGCCAAGGATCAGTGATGTACAAGACTCTATCCAACTCCTTCGCCAGTGCCGCCTCAGGTTGACAGGCATAACTAGGGCTCCAACCATATCCTCAGGTGGTTAGAACCCCCTGGCACCCACCCCAACCATCTTCTCAGGAGGTTGGAGCCCCAAGGAACTAACGCAAGCATCGCATGGCATGGCATGGCGTCACGCGCCAATGCGGTTGGCATCGCGTGCCGCCGCTCCAAAGGGGCCTGAAAGGCTCCTTGCACATCTCCACGGTCGCCATAGAATGCCTGCCCCGTTGAGCGTTTTTGACCGGATGTTTGGAAGCAGGAAAAATCAGCAATTGAACATGTTTCAGATTGCAGGTTGTGTTCAATCCTTCCCGAACGCTCCATGTATACCATATATGCCTACATTGACCCCCCCAAACCACCCGAATGTAGGCATACATGGAGTCTATGGGCTTGTCTTCTTTCCAACCTGTGCTGAAAAGTTGGTGGCATGGGCGGAGATCGCAGCTGAGGCCACATGCACCAGGGTGTTCCTCGCAATCAAGTTCTGAGATGCAAAAACCGGGAGCCTCTTCATTGAATCAAAGGTCCTATAGCCACTGTCACCCACAAGCATGTACAGGTCGCGCAGCTTGGCCATCCTCAGAAACATCACGCACTGTACAGCTTCTCAGGAGCTGCAAGGTTCGAGGATCTTCATGCCCGAACACTCCATGTATGCCATACTTGCCTTACATTGGGGTGGTGTGGGCATACATGGAGTGTATGGGACACCGAAAAGTCATCAAATGGCGGAAAGTTGGTTGATGCTGTCAGGACTCTGTAGTCTGTAGACAAACTCCAATTCCAAAGTCACCTGGACATGCAAGATCATGCAAGTGATCTTCAAAACGGGGACTCTGTGAACGTGATCCACACGGTTGAAATGATCAATTCCGTGGCCACAAACTTTGGGTGCTCAATCTGTGCCTTCAAACCATCGCTGGTTCGCACATTGAGCGGAGGCATAAAAACATCGTCCTTAGCTGTGGCGAAACGCATGCTTGGATTTGCTGTTCAGGAACCATTTTCCAAGGGGATTTGGCCAAAGAGACAATAAAAACATCACCTTAAGCAAAACCAGCGCTTGGTGAGTCAACCGCAATCACCAACGACCAGTGCGACAGGTCCAAGAGTCATCATCAGGTTGGAAGGAGTTGTCAAAGTTGCGAAAGTAGCCTGGGTCGCCAAAGCATGACCCCAATCCTTTCCCAACTCGCGGTGCTGGCGAAATCCCATTAGATGCTCAAGCCACAGTATTTGCTGGTGGCAGGGAAGGTCAGCAAGTAGTTTCCAATCCCAACAAAGTGCAGCCCGGCCTCAACCAAAGGCATCAACACTAGCAAGTACTTGAAGTCAAGGAAACGTATGTTTGGGTACTTATACACTGTTCACTCTAATCTCTCGCAAACTACACATTAGAAAGAAGCGCGTGCTCAATGATGTTCGATGCACTTTCGCTCCCAAATCCGGAAAACCAATAACGTCATTAAAGCCGCGTTGTTTAAGCCGCGGGCATGGTGTTCTTATTGCTATGAGTATATGGTATAATAGTGCTGTACGTGTTCATGACAAAATCACCTGAAAGGAGCATGGTCGAAAGCGCAAAGTCGAAAGCGCACCTTTTGATCGAAAGCCGTTTCTTCCCCGCCTGCGTGAGTGGATCCTCCTTCACCGACTCGGACCACCAGTCGTACTGGAGTGCCCACCTCAGATGCGATCACGGTCACTGGGAGCGGTCACCCGGTCACCCAATAAGGCAAAGGCTGACTGCTTTCGACCTGCAGGAAGGTCGGGAAGGCCAACACATCAGACTTTTGTCAAAAATGGTTGCAGATGTTTGTTGGACCAATGCGTATACCTGCTAAGTGTCTTTCTGCATTGTTGTACTAAATGACCTGGTAACACAATATGTTAACAATGTATACGTTGCGCTCTTGCAATATTCTCTGTTTTCCATCGCCTTCTTGAACCCCAAGGCAAGCATGATCGCCACGAAGATCACAAACCTGGCACAGCTGATCGCTGCAAGGCCTGGCCTCCAAGCGACCCACGTCTTGAAAACATGCCGTGGCTGCAGGCAACAGCAACATCCTCCACCACCCAGCAGAACGACATTATCAACCTCAAAGCCCACAAACAAATCCACAAAGCTGAGCCTTCGAGAGAAACACCGCACAAGTCCACCGCGTGTGGATTCGGAACATCACCCAGCAGAGCTTCGGACCATCGAGCAGCACCTCAGGACGCGAGACTCTACGTCACGAACAACGGCAGCGGCTTTTGGTTCGACACGAGTTCTGCGGAAACCATGACATGTACCAACTTCAAGGCCAAGACCAAGACCAATAAAGGAGTCGCTACCGGCTTCAGGTCCAGCTCTCTCACAAAGGTCTTCATGTTCTTGGAATGTTCCAACAGAACAAGTGTTTAAGACGACCTATGGTGGTCCGAAATTGCAAGACATGTTGAGTGGTGATCTACTTTTCCTATCTATAGTTGGGGATCCATAGAAAGACCCACAGCTTTTCCGGATCTATAGAAAGACCCACAGGTCTTCCTATATGGCTTCCCACATTCGTCCACAAAAAACGACATGGATGGGAGCGGTACATGATTCCCAAGTTCCCTAATATACCTTGGGCTATCTTGGGCTGGTTGATTGATTGGCAGCAAAGCTTCCAGTCCCAAACAGGTCATCTACCAACAGACTGGGGCCTCCAGCTCTTAGGACTCCGGGCTTGGAGTGCGAAGCTGCGCGAAAGCGGCGCGAGAGCGGCGCGAAGCGCAGCGAAGTGCGCGCCCGTCTCCCACTTCTCTTGAGCCGATTCTGATCGAGATGAGCCGATGAAGCGACAAAGGAACAAGCAGCTCAACTCAGTTTCAACCCTTTTGAGGTGCATCGTGAAGGCGTATGTTGGGAAAAATCACTCACCCAAAACTGGAGATTGCCTATCATCGAAAGCTTGGTCTTGCCGGCTTTCCATTCCACAAGCAAACGGATAAAGATTGATCAACTTCAACACACGTGTGGAGCGAGTGCCTCAAACAGCAGTCTGCGGCGTTCCAAACCCCCTGGCCAAAACACCAAGTCATCCCTCACCTTCAAGATCTAGTTCGCAGAAGCCGCACTTCCTTTCCAGGTGGAGCGCAAGATCTGCTGAAAAGCCGCACGAGAGGGGAGCGACTCGTTGCCGTTTTCACCGGTCAAAGCAGGCCTCTGCTCGCTAAGCCAAGACACACCCAGGACAATCACCCTCTAAACAAACGCCTCGAGAATCTCTGAACAAACGCCCTGTGTCCGGTGGTCTGTTCTACACACTTCTTCGAGTCTTCAATCAGGAAAAAGACACGAGAACAATACAAGTCATAGCACACCCAAGCCAGCTCTTCTTGACACTAAGATTCTTGTACTGAGAATCCATCATCTCTTGCATCATCTTCCTTCGTCCTCAGACCGCTTGGGTGATCTGCTGACTTCGACCTGCTACATCAAAAGCCCGAGGAATTGAGACCCCTGAGCCCGTCATGGTGTATAGACGATGGAAATAAGGAAAGGCTCCCCCATTTGGAGTGAACAACCTCTCCATGCGAGGGGTTCTTAAATCAACAGGCATAAATCTATGTCATCTCCAACCCCCCCAAGGATCGGATCTCTCGCCCCATCTGTTCGGCTCCGGATATGTCTCATCTCACCCGCACCAACGCGTGGAACCCATGCGGAACCCATGTCCGGGTCCCAACAAATGCCATTCGCAAGGACCACGCTGTCACAACCTCTCACTCCTTCGAGGCCTTGTTATGTTGTTTTTGGTACGCCACATGGGTCTTCAAAAACCTCCGCCAGGTCGTTCGTCCAACACTGCTACCGCCAGGTAGGCCAAGCAGCATTTGCAAGTGCCACCAAAGCGATGGCGCTCAGCACATGGAAGGTCATGGCGGATGACGAAACACCGCATGCTGCTGAGGTTCCTTTGCTACTGCAACTGTTGCATACTGAGGCATACTATACTGCTGTAGCTGATAGTGCTAGCTTCACATGAATGCACGCTCCAACTCGCTCAAAACAACTGCAGTAAACCCAGTAAACCCTTGGCATTGGATAGCTCAATAGTTTTCTAGAGCTCGCCTCGGAGAACCCACGAGATCCGTTCTAGAAGCACCTTGATCGCCGACTTGATCTGTTGTTCTCTCCCCACTCTTCTGCTCAGCTGGGAGCTTCACAGATCCGGACGGCCATGCAGATCAGGTGTCCGGAAGCCCTCCTCTCGCCTGCCGCTTGCTGCTCTGCAGCTGGCTGCTCAAGTATTTCAAGCACCTGGATGGTCGTAAAAGACGAGGAAGACATGGCAACAGCGGGTTCTTTTCCCAAACACTCCATGGGACTGGCATATTTACCTACATTGAGGTGGTTTTAGGGGTCAAAATAACTATGCCATACATGGAGTGTCTGGATTTTGTTTCTGGAAGAAATCTGAACACCTGAGCGATGTTTGGTGCCTTCACTGGTAGAGTATATGACAAAATCACAAAGCACATGAATAGCACGGTTTTGTTTTTGTTGATGGACAATGTATGAACATTGTCGCATTTTGACAGGGGCCTCCTGATGTGCAGGATGCCTTCAACCAAACAATCAGGTCCCAGTTTTGACTTTGTAAGTTCGTTGTCAACAGTTTTGTCTGGTGTGCTTCCCCACCCCGTCACAGAACAAAGTCAGTTGTAGGAATTCCTGTCCAAGAAATTCAGGCATGGAGCCTGCACACCTCGTTCCAGTAGCATGGGAAGTTCTAACCGCATTCCAGGAAACAAGATCCTAGTATATATAGTATATGTCTTTAAAGTAACTAGCTAACTAGCTCGTTCACATTCACCATGTGCGCTGAGTTTCCTCCTACCTCCCGCGGAACCTCTTGGCTCAAATTGCCAAGGCCCCAAATTCAGTCAAAGGCGCATCAAAAAGCTCTGATATCTCATGAATTCCCGGCCTCGGCAAGTCGCACCAGGTACAGCACTGGATGGTATTCCGGGCACGAGTAACTGAGTAACTTGCTCCAATGGAGGGCACTGATGAACACTTGACGCCGGTGTGGATTTTACTCCAACTGCACCAAGCGGGCAACTCTGCAGACTCCAGACTCTGTAGGCATATAAGTTCAACCGACCAAATACCACAGTTGGTCTGCTGCATTCTTCTGTACAGTGTGTTGTATTCGCACACCTGCACTCTGTTGACTCCGGGGCAACGAGTGGAGTGTGCCAAGCTTTGAGGTTCTACAATTGTCAGCCCCACTGGCTGTGGACACCCTCGCAACAAATAACAAAAAAATACCTGAGCGTTTTGGATTCCAATTCCAAACCTACTGCACCTCCACATCCAAAAAATACAGGATTCAAACATCATCAAACATCCCCATCCCCATATGTCATCCCTGCGTCATCCCCATATGTCAGGAGTCTCAAGGGATCCGTTCTGTTTTGACTGCTGTGGCATGTCAAAGGGTCTCAAAGGCCACTCATGTGGTTCTCCTCAGCTTGCGGCAGAAAGATCAACACACCTGGCAGCTGTTGAACCCAATCGGTCGGACGCGTGTGATCTGGGCAACGTGTTCCAACCAACTGGGTTCATGCACCAAATCACATCCCAATCAGCCCCGGTCATTTTCTTGGAATGTTCTTCTACAGGTATGCCGGATTGAAACAGAGTTTGCTTAGAATAAATTTGACCTCGCCCGATGGCTTTGCACGATGAGAGCTTCTTGAATGATCGGATCATGTCGAGTTGAAATACCACGTGAAGTGACATTGTTCACAGAACGTTCTTCAAAGGCCACTGCCACGACCCTGCCACTGGTGCCAGGTTTCAGGTACGACTCTACAAGGATGCTGGTAGGGGCACTTGGAGTAGAACACATTCTCTCCAGGTCACTTCTTGCCCCTGAGGCACACGGTCATGTTGTAGGTGAAAACGCCTAAAATCTGGGGTGAAAAGAACAAGTCCACATTCTAAGGACCAACCTGACTTGCTCCGTTGATCTCATTTCAGGCTCGTATATCTCTTATACTGCAAGCGACTTCACATCCGAACAGTTCGCCGTCCTCTGCACCGGCGAGCACCTTTGGTGACGTGCCGGGTGCGCCTTCACCGCCACAGCCAAGCATCCGTACCTGGGACTGGCCACCGATCACTTGAGGTGGTTGAAAAGGGGTCAATGGATGGAGCATATGCATGCATATGCCAGTCCCATGGAGTGTCTGGGAATGGGAACTGAACTTGGATGCACTACGGTCACTTGGAGGCCAATCACGATCAATGAGCAGCTGCAGGCAGGGCTTGAAGTGGTGATGTCATCAGAAGTTGTCCCCATTATATTCTCACACGGTGCGCGTCTTCCGCCGGAAGCCTCACGAGAAAGGTCAAGAAACTGCGGCACTCCCGTACCCAGGAGTGCCAAAAAAAGGCTCAGAAAAGCTCCCCGAGCAATGTGACAGTGGTGCCCAGAATTGCCCCTGTCACATCCACGAGCCCTGGATGAGGCTGAACAGATGGGCGACTTATTCTGAGATAGGGGAAGTGTTCAGGTCGCCCCTTAAATTAATAGCTTCTTGTTACTACTAGTAAGGCACTTGTTACTACTAGTAAGGCACCTGTTACTACTAGCGTGGCACTTGTTACTAGTATATGAATAAATATTTTCTGATATCAGCAAAGCATTCCTGGCAGGAAAGGCTGAGACGAGACCAATTCCTCAACCCGAGACGAGACTGAGTTCCCGCATCCTCCACCCGAAAACGTCCGAGACCAAAGCCCATCCCTTTGACCGAGTCCGGGCACCAGTTCCAGAAGGAGTTGCTGGAAGCCCTTCTGCAGCTGAGGCCTCAGTGGCTGTGAGGGATACCAAGCATATTTTGGTGGATTAATGTAGACTTCTTTTAATGCTGGATACCATATTATGGAGTCTTCATCTGACTCGCCGGATGTTAGACTAAAATCATTTCACCCCAATCAGTCGTCAGCCCCTCGGGGTTTGATGTATGTTGATGTCTGACGCTTTTAGTCTTCTGTTGCAAGTTTCAAACATATCAAGAAAACCCTCCCAAAGCATCCCAACCAGTCCATCCGATGTATCTCTCCATGCCTAGATAAGCCTAGGCCGCGTAGCTTGTGTGAAACAAAACGGTTGCAAACTCCTCCTCAATCAATTCCTCACTCTCTGCGCGCCGCACTTC